TAGGAAATCCCGATTAAAATATACCTATGCACAAACCTACAAGTCGTTCAGTTTTTCCATCTATAATTCACTACACATAATGCTATGTTATATGTTATATGGATACATGGAAAAACTCTTTTAAATTACAAGATTTTACTAGTAAATTTGACGATTTTAATAAGGTTCTAAACTGTGTTAGTAAATGTTTTAGAATATTTGATATACGAGTAGTCCTATTTTCAGATGAAAATATAGTCTAAATAGTCTTTTAAATAGTCTTCTAACTGTTGTTAAAAATTAACTTTAAATAGATATAAAATGGTCCTAAAAAATTCTGGACAGTTTTGAGTAGAAACTTACCTCTCTCCTATTATTATTTTGATTACCACGAACCGACCCTGTATAGTGTTTACATTCGCTGGAAAAGTGACTTCTGGCTCATTGTAAATTTTTATACGGTAAAAGATGACAATTTTTTTTCATAGAGCAATCTTGAACGTTTGTAGTGTTTATGTGGTTTCGTTCGTTTGGTCGAGCAGTCGACTCTTTATTTACTGCAAAGGATATATGCCACTGTATCACTGTCAAAAAAGAGGCCAACCTCCAGTTTCGCGACCCGCAAATTCGAGCTTATTCTTCTTCTCTATTTTCTTTCTTGTCGGCGATTTTATGAAAGCGCAAAAATGGATGGCTTCCGGTGAAGCGCCGGCCTTATCTCCATTAGGTCGTGGAAGGGCTGGGCGATAGAAATAACGACAGACTCCGAGGATAATGAAAGGTGATCTTTTCGATTTAGTTTTAGGCGAATTTCGGTTTAAACGGTTCCCTTTATTTTCGCCGGAATACGCTCTTAAGCTACATCAATCATAGTTTTCTCTGAAGAGCTCGCCCGGCGCAAAAAGGATAATATTAACGTTTCCATTTGCGTTTCGGAAACAAAAATGCAACCGCATTTATTTCGAAATTCGCAATTTGTGGGCCGATTCTCGAACCGCGATAATGCATAAAATTCACGAGCGTAAGGTAAATAGCCGTTATCTGGTTATTATGCTCGGGGAATCCGGCTCTGTACGCCCGTTAACCGACGAGAGTTTTCTCCGTTTTACCGCTTTTTCATCGACTACAAATCTTTACGAAACACAGACTGGGTATGAGGTAATAATCCCTCGAGAAACCTAATCTTCGGTATTTTCAATTCGAAATTAAACTCTCGTTTTACATTAAATACTCGGATGTTAGCTATTTAATTCTGAATATATACGGAGCTTTCGATTCTATAAATCCACCTTCCCGAAACTATACAAATAAACGTATCGCACCGAAAAAAAGCTCCATCTTAATTTGTCTTCGGTTTGACGCGTCCGATTTCTTCCTATCCCAAGAACTTCGTCCATTATTTACGAAACGAAACTAACTCCTCGTTCCTTTATTTTCGCCCTTCAATTACCCGTAATTTCGCTAAATCGAATTAAGCGGCAAAAAACCTAATCATCGCCCAGGAAATTTTACATTAAGCGCCCTCATAATTGGACGTAAATTATGACGATATCGGAACCATCTGAGCAATTACGCCCGGAATATCGAATCGAATCTGCTTGCAAGTCGAGAGGTAGTTTGAAGTTCATCGCGCAAAACGGATTAGAGCAAAACACCCCTACGATTGAAACTAGACTCGGCGAGTCCATCGTTCAATTTCCACGCTGCAGACACTCGATGGCTTCTTATTAAACGAAACTCAATAAGCCGCTCGAACGTTTTCCTCGCATAATAATTTAGAGCCCGTAGAGCCCCTGACTTACGGCGTAAATGATACTTAAAAGCTTAGTGCAATCGACATTGTTACTAATATGGAATTGTTTCGGTTTTTTCTCCATTAAATATATTGTACAATAGGTAGCTTTTATAATTATGGGGAAAAAGTTGAGTAGCTACTAAAGCTTCGAATAGTTCAATTGAGTATTTCTTAAATTATTGCGGAGGAATTTAAATGGTTCCATTGTCCAGCTTTTAAAATTATGGTGGAGGAATTTAAGTACCTACTAAAGCTTTGAATAGTTTAAAATTATTTTAAAATTGTGGTAGAGGATCTGAAGTATCTACAAAAGCTTTAAACACCTTAATATTCGAAATTATGTTAAGAACTGAAGCTGGAGTATTCACTAAAATGTTATACCGGTAGACGTACTGAATAAAATTATGCTGTAGAATGAAATTTAGGCCAAAAACCTCATTTCGCCTAGAGGAGTTTAAGAATAAGGAATTCGCAGAATTTCCGGCAATTTCGAACCGCCTGGCGAAAAAGGAAAATATCGGGCCAATAAAAACGGAAAAATAATTACACCTCTTGTTCGGATGGAGGAGCAATTGTCGAAGTTACCGGGAGTTATATGGAAGTGGAGCGATGAAGTAAGCGACAGTTCGGGAATTAATCTATCTTCGAAAAATAAAATGAAGTAACGGCGGATCTCCATTATTTCTCATCCCATTACGCCGGAGACGCTTTGATAATCGCACTCCGGAATGAGAACTCTATTTTTACAGTGCGACGGCGACTTTTCTATTACTGGGAAAGCTCTTTTCCTATTAATTGAAAATTATCGCTTCAACTTATTCGAATGTCGCGCAGACACTCGCCGAACAATAAACCAATTAACGCATTATCACAGCGACGGTAATCATCGACTAGTACAAGGAAAAAATCGGGCATTACTGACAAGACACCGGCCCGCAATTACCGAAAGCTCGCCGTGTAATCGTCGCAAAACCGGGAATCTATAATTTTCCGTAGGGCAACTTATATAACAACCGACGGTTACGTTTCCTCAGGAGCTGTTATTATGCAGAGCTGAAATTCCATTCAACAATCGCGCGTCGGTATCGTATTTAAAATTTAATTTGTAGCTCTCCCAGTCGGTACAATCAAAGCGATCAGACGGAATCGTTAATTTCGACGGATGCGCCCGCTCCTTCGCCGTAATTTGAAGAAGCGCCCACGCCATAATTCCAATTAGGATTAGGATTTTTGGCGCATCCGCCAATTTCCAATCGAGCCGGTATTATCGCGACCGCATACCGCCGGTTGACTCGTATTAATTCGTTTATTTAAGCCGCGTTTCTTGAGAACGTGCACGACAAAGTCGAATCGAACGCGCTCGATTCGAGGCCCTTTTAACGCCCTTGATCCCGGACTTAATAGGGGATTCGACGGTTTCGCGACTCAATACCCCCATTATTTTTTTTTTGTTGCCCACCCTCGATTTGCATATCGGCGGCTTTGATTCGAATATAAATAACGATTAGAGGTGTTGTGGATATCGAATATTTCCGGACGTCGTTAATTCGAGGCGATAGCGCGGAATCGAAGGGAATCGAAAAAAGAATCGATTTTCGAAATGAACGCAAAGTCAACACTGTCGGCCGAAATGGTAATTTTCTAACGGAATCATGCAAATTCGGTGTCATTTCTGTACCAGTGCTCGAGTTTATTCTCGAGTCTGGGTTACTCGTTAACGTCGATTCCTGTTTTAAGGATTATACGGTTGTTTAAATTAAGGATTTTAAGGATTTAAGTACTACGGGATTTATGCTCATCTCAATTAATGTTTTTCTAGTTGAATATAAAAGGAAATTTAGAAGTTGTGATGTAATTTCTATGCGCTGGTATATGTAACATAGTTGAATCCTCTTAATAATTAATTTAAGTTATAACGGTGAGTTCGTGCGCCAAGAAAATTTACGGGTCTATTTATGAATTGTTTGCATGTTATTAGGACGTTCCGGAATTATTATAGTTTTCCAGTTTTTAATTTTCCGGAAAAAGGAAAATTGTTTGTTGACTTTTTCTTATTAATTAATATTTATCGTGAGACTGCGACCGAAAAACGAACCGAACACAACAAAACGACCGATTCCTTTTCAATTAAACCGGCAAACTTCCTCGATATAAGGTCATGAAGTTTTGCGTCTTTGATCAATAGAAAACTTCCCGGGCGTGTTATAGTAAAACGGCTTTTTCCACGAAACAAAAATAATTTGATATCCTTATTCCGTCAACGCGGCTTTGATCAACTTTAAACCCGTTAAAAACTTAGATAATTTCCTTCCTAAGATATTTCCAGCTTTGAGATAAATTACAAATTCTACAACCCGGAATTCAATACCGAAATAGTTCCAATACAAGCCGCTTTAGAAGAACGATAGGTGTTTATTTTAATTGGAATCTTTTCACGTATATCAAAAAGTGCGGTATATAGAGTAGATAGAGAATAGAAAATTGGATTTCGCGCGACTTGGAAGCAAGAATTTTGCAATAAACAAAAATTCACTCATTGTCTCCGCATCGGATCCGCGTCAGGCAGTCAATCTTGTCAGAGATTTACAGTGGATGTTTCCAATTTAGCGCGGAGAGATCCTAACTCGCGCGCGCCCGAAATAAGGAAAAGAAATTGGCGAGACGTCGATGCGACACCTTCGACTCGTACGAAACTAATGCGGGGGCGGCTTTCCGTTCGAGGAATTGTGCCTGAATTAGAAACGTGCAGGTTTGATGGCTCTCGCTCCGTCAGGATAACGACGCCGAACCGCGCCGGAAAGCTCCAGTTACCCGACCGGTTTTCCTATCGGGGCTGATGGGGATTCACGTGGAATTTGTATTGAGGCGATAAAACACTTAATCAAGGCGGAGGGAAGATGTTCCTTTTTCGCTAACTGCGGATAGAGATTTTTTCTTGATTAACCGACCGGTTTCTCATATCGTTTGCTCTTCGTGCGTTATTGGTACAAACAAAGCCGGAATTTATGTATGAATTTGCGGGGGAAAACTGGTATATTTCCGACGATATATGGGTTTTTTTTTCGTTCGCCGTACCGGCGGGAATTAGCGGTTTTAAATTCGTAATGGCGGAGTGCATTTCTTAAGGGAGCGATTATTAGCCCCGTATGCCGTTGCTCGAAATTCTTGCGAAACCGATAAAGTTCGAATTACAAAAGAAAACACAAGATGCTCGTGAATAACTTACCAATCGTTCCCGGTTTTCGCTACGTTTTGTCGCTTCCTACCGGTTTGGTGCGGCTTGGGCTCTGCGACCATATTTACATCTGCAACAAATTAAATATAAAAATTAATGTTTTATTATGACAATAATTCAACGAAGCTTCTTCTAAAATTCTGAAATAAGTAAATTATAGATGCATTGATATTTGTTTTGCGCCGACAGTATATGGCATAATCTCCTTATTAGGGCCCTAAGTGTATAAATAGTGTACTTAGGTATCTATTTAACTAAATTTGTGTGTGTGTGTATATCGAATTTAATTATTCGGTTTGATACAAACAGTTAATGAACGATTCATCAATGAATGAAATTCGACGGGGCGTCAAAGATTCGCTGAATCTGATAATGTATACATGTTACAACCAGGGTATGGGAACTCGTGGCTACTGGCTCCACCTGTTTCGAGCGTCCATGAAACACCACTGCGCATGTTTTGCTATAGATGGCAGTGTATGAAAATGGCCTAGTAAAGTCCCCGTCAAGTTAGTATGTTATCTATGTAAAGTCCTTAGGTCCTATTGGTCCGTTCCGCCCTTTTTTGCCGGATTCGCGTTTTTATCTGTATAAAACACCTGTATGAAACAGACTTAACGACTTCTTTCTTATTTTCTGTCGTTTTTGAGTTTTTGGTTATTTTATGCCATTTATGGTTTAACTTCGGACATTTGTGTCTTTATTGTATTTTTACGTGCGTGTTGTGAGTTGAATAATGCTATCGAAATTCGTTACAGTTAGTTATCCTTATTATTGTTTATTAATAGGTACCGTTCTAATAGGTAGTAATGAATAATTTAAAAGGGCCCATGACGAGTATCAAAGAAGAATACCTAAATTTAAAAAAATATACTTTGTGAATTAGACCATTGTAGAATATACCAATTTAGCTATAGAAGGTTGTTGTTTCTTTTATTTTTTCTACTTCTACAATTTCATAATAAATTTAGAGGAATTCTTTTTAACTGACCTACTCATTTTACACTAACTACATTTATAAAGTAAAATGTTTATTTCAGTTAAAAAGGTTTCCCTCTAAATTTATTATGAAATTCTTATTTAAAAAGTAATAATTGTGTACGCAAGATTTTTAAATTTTGGCGCCAATTGCAGAACACTGTAAGTATAATTAGTATTCTGCATTTAATGTATAGACGCGCGTCACAGGTGTCGTTAGTAAAAAAATTGAGTTTCCCATCTATAGTGTAGGTTATCTGTGGTTACAACCATAAATAATAATGAAGGCTGTCAACGACAGATTTGCATGTATATCTATGCATGTTTGAAGCCGTACAAGTGGGCAAATAGCAGTACGATTCGCAGTTAATTTCGGAATATTTTTATTGTTGCAAAAGAGGAACCGCCGACCCGAATTGATCCGAAAATCCGCCAATAATTCTCCACTTTTATCAGTGTACGGGGACCCGCCGGTGCGGAAAATCCGGGGATACCAAGAATGAATGTTAGAGCCGTTACACACGTATTTTGTACATATAAAATAACGTCGATATTAGGCGAGTCCACAATTTTCGTAGGCTTCTTCCGTTAATGCAGTACTCGTGTAGGGATGTCGAAATCGCCTTTGGGTCCCCATCGGACTTACTACCCCGTTACGTCCGAACACGTATCCCGAAAACAGCGTCGCGCTCGATTTTTTTTTTTCATCGCAAAAAATCCCCTCTATAGCGTGTGGAAATTCCGAAAAGCGGGTTTTATTACGTGTCAAATTACATTCTGCGCGCATATTATTTCGTAGACAAATTTAGAACGGCCGGTTATTTATTTAGGCCTTGTTGCATTCCGCTGCATTACCTTTGCTCTCGTTCCGCATTGAATTCTTGCCAGATATTTCCAACGTGTGTTCGCGTCGAGTTTTCCGAATACCTACCTACGCCAGGTATTCTATATACCTACGCATTCTTTTAAACGAGAAATTCCATTCGAATGGATAGATACATGCACGTCGAATATCAACAATAAAATGTAGCGTTCGTTTGAGAATACGAAATTAGAAATGCGCATTAAACCCTTTAATTCGATTCGAATATAATCGAGTATGTATGAGCCGATTCTACTTCCTAATTATTCCATTCGTCTCGGCGAAAATTAGATATTTGACAGCAACAAAGCCGTTACGACCGGTAAAATTGGAAATTATTCCTCGGCGAATTTTGCATTTCAATTAAAATTCATGAAAATCCGCCGGCGTCTGTACGAAAACGAACGACACTTATTATCAACGCCGCGAAATCGATTTATAACGATATTAACCCTATAATTGCGAGATAATGACGCATCCGAAAAGGCCGAGTTCCCCGAAAAGCCAATCAAAATAATCGTTCGCCGATTGAACTCGATTTTCCCCGTGACACAAATTCGATAAAGCAATTGATAGCACAAAAATTCGTTGTATTTAGTACACTAGTATTTAATTAAAGTTTCCCTTTAACAAATTAGGCAATTGGCATTGTTAATAAGATGAATCATTTCGCTTGATCGTAAAATATTAGACTTTTTTTAATTATCCCGTAATCTGGTACACAAGATTTAAATCGCTTGCACCTGTGTAAACAGGTGTGTTTTCAACATGACCCAAAATTAGGTATATATAGAACAACCTTGTATACATAATTGTGCATTCATGTAATAAAACAGGTAAATTATAATGTGTAGTACCTATAAAATATAACTGCATATTAAATTTCTACAATTATTTGTAAATGCCATAGAGCATAGAGTAACAAAATAAATTGGATAAATACACAAAGATATATAGATTAAAAATATTGGGCAGTTTACCTTTAATTCAACTAATTATAATTATATACAGTATAAATTTGATGACATTTTTAAATGTTGTACACAATTAGTCGATTTTTCAAATGAAAAATTCTAAATAGTCTTCTAAAAGTTAAAAAATTATAAATTGTTCTGCTGTTATAGATATTGGACAGTTCTAAATGGTTCTATTATAAGATCGTTCTTAACTGATTCAAATGATTCTAGTCAATTTTAAAATAATTCTAAACAATTCTGGACAGTTCTGTAGGGTTTAAAATAATTCTAAATAATGCTACGAAGCAATTTGAAAGCACAAGTAACTATATCTTCAATTATAACTCCTATTCTCTCCTATTATTGTACGATAGGTATATAGATCGTAAGCTAATAGTACAAATTCAAATTCCATCGATTTCCTGCTCGTTACCGCAAGTCTCGGATCCGATCCGTCAGGGCTGATGAGACGATTTCGCGCGACCCGATAGCGCACTCATCAATTTTTCACCTAAACGCAGGTGGAGGAAGTCTGATCCGGAGACGGACGTTTACGGATCGACCGTGACGCGGGTCGGGGGGCCCGGCGGACGTGACGAGGGACGCCCCGCGGGCAGGTTATCAGTATGCCCGGCGACGGGTCAAACCCGCTGTCAATGCCTCGTCTTCGCGGAGCGCGCCCCCCCGAATTGCAGCCGTTTTGTAACCATCCGGATACGGTTATGACCTGCGAGAGGTGAAGAGATTTATCGTGCTTGTCTTTGCTGGAATTTACCTAATACCGGAGGATTAATGTACGTGTAGTTTGTTCTAGCTAATAGGTAGACACGTTTTTTTTTTCAATTTGTAGTAAAATTCGGATTAAAATCTCGTCCTCTCTCGGCTTTTAGCGCGTCGATCGGAATGTAATAAACAGCTAGTCGGGGAATCGCAATCAAAGAATAATTGCCTCCTCTTTTCGACCGGTGAGAACCAGCTGGGGCATGAAATTACAAACTAGCACATGTAACTAAGATATACGGGGCCAATGTAAGTGCAAATGTAATAATTTCGGCTGTATCTTTTGCGAGAACAGTTTTATTGGCTGCGTTATGGATGGCCCTTGTAATTGGTTTTTGCGCTTTGGGCTCGCTTCCTCGAATGGCGCTCAATGAGGAATTGGAAAATAATCCGGTTTTTTCTAATTTTACCCTCGCATATCTGATTGATAATGTATAACGTACGAGACAAACGAAAAATTACTTGGCGCGCATTCAAGAGATATAAAAAATTGACGTTCTAAATTTAACGTATTAATGAGACGTCCGATCAGGTAGAAAGCAAGAAAATTGGGATTAATACGCGTCATATATTTGGAAACCATAAAAGCGTGTAACGCGTACGAGGAAAACCGTACGACAGCTGTTCACGTTATTTTTGCCCAATCTGTTACGTGTCAACTGTATAGTGGGATATTTCGGCTCCGCTGAACATCTATAATAGTCGTTAAATTATAACAAATGTCTTAATTAAATGTTGAATATTTCGAAAATACCAAAAAAAATGTATCTATATACTACTTTATTATCGAAACTTTTGCCAGGCAAATAACGTGCGGAATGAATAGCACGATGATTTTATTTTCCAGTTAATCAGCATAGTATTGTTCCAGTAATAATAACTGAATACTCAATCGAGCGGGCGCGATATGTTATTCGGGAAAAACCTGTTGATTTTCAATCTCTTCGTTGTCTGATTGCGAATTAGGCAGGTATTCATTTGATTAAAAGTCAATATTTGCGCTTCGGTTGATTGATGCGTTCATAGAGCATATATTCAACAAGGTATTTTCGTTCTCCGTTTCAACTCTACACACAAATCAATAATTTATACTTCTCCGAGTTATCTTCGAATTAATACGTTGATATATGTTTGTAGTGGAAAGAAAGTAATAGTTCGAAAACAGACCGATCTTAATTCGAACCGACCCGAACTCGACTTTCCTCCTTGTGCGCTCCTAAATAAAATATAAATCTCCACCCCGGATCGAATCAAATTCTTTCCGGCGATTAGACGGGAACTAAGTTTTAAGTGAAATTGACAAAAGGGATTGATGGGAGTAAACCGGCGAGAATTGTTAGGAGAATACACGTCCATAAAAAAAATCGGACGAGAGGTAGAAAAGAAATTATGCTGTGTAGAGCCAAATATTGACTTGTACTGAAAATACAACCGAGTTAAATGGATTCTTTTTACCGGTGTAACTTTTTTTTGTATCTATTTATACCGAGCCAT